CCCAAATTTTGGGTCTCACCCAGGCCGTGTTCTCCCTCAGGTAGCACCCCCTGAACCCCAAAACTCCCCCCAAAAAATTCCCCAAAATCCAAAAAAAATCGCCAAAAAATCCCCTCAAAAATCCCAAAAAATTCCTAAAAAAATCCCCCCAAAATCCCGAAAAATCCAAAAAAAATCCCAAAAAATTCCCCCCAAAATTTCCTCAAAAATCCCCAAAAATTCCTTAAAAAATCCCCCCAAAAATCCCGAAAAATCCAAAAAAATTCCCAAAAAATCCCAAAAAATTCCCAAAAAAATCTCAAAACAATCCCCAAAGAATCCCCCAAAAATTTCCCAAAAATTAAAAAAAAATCCAAAAAAATCCCAAAAATTCCCCCCAAAAATACCAAAAAATTCCAAAAAAAATCCCGAAAAAAACCCCAAAAAATTCCCAAAAATACCCCCAAAAGATCCCAAAAATTCCCCCAAAAAATCCCCAAAAGTTCCCAAATTTTAGGGTCTCACCCAGGCCGTGTTCTTCCTCAGGTAGCACCCCCTGAACCCCAAAACTCCCCCCAAAAAATCCCCACAAAATCCAAAAAAAATCCCAAAAAATCCCCCAAAAATCGCCAAAATATCCCTAAAAAAATCCCCCCAAAATCCCGAGAATTCCAAAAAATTCCCCAAAAAATCCCCAAAAATTTCCTCAAAAATCCCCAAAAATTCCTTAAAAAATCCCCCCAAAAATCCCGAAAAATCAAAAAAAATTCCCAAAAAATCCCAAAAAATTCCCAAAAAAATCTCAAAACAATCCCCAAAGAATCCCCAAAAAATTTCCCAAAAATTAAAAAAAAAAATCCAAAAAAAATCCCAAAAATTCCCCCCAAAAATACCAAAAAATTCCAAAAAAATCCCGAAAAAAACCCCAAAAAATTCCTGAAAAATCCCCAAAAAATCCCAAAAATTCCCCAAAAAAATCCAAAAAAATTCCCAAAAATTCCCCAAAAAAATCCCAAAAAGTTCCCAAATTTTGGCTCTCACCCAGGCCGTGTTCTCCCTCAGGTAGCACCCCCTGAACCCCACAGTGTTGGGGTGTCTGAGCCTCTGCAGCACCTTCACCTCCCTCACGATGTCCTGCCATTTCTTTGGGGCAAAATCCACAAATTTCATCGTTTTTTTTCATTCATTTTGGAATTTTTT